TCAACTTATGATCATTTCGATCATCCTCAGAGCTTGCAGCTACGCGATCGAAATGATCATAAGTTGAATTAAAATATTGACACCTGACAGTATCTTTATTTATTTATCATAATAAAAAGGTATCTACTTCACTAACAATACAATTAACTTATTAACAGTATTTATTACTGTTAAGACAGACGGACGTCATTAACAAATCGTCTTCTATGACTTCTAGGCTGTCCTAAAAATTACTGTTAATAAAATATATTTAAAGTGGCAAGCACAATATAATATTAAATGCAATTTGAATGTTCACAATGGAACAAAACATTTACTAAAATGATTCTCAACGATTAATAAGAATCAATACCTGTTCTGTAAACTGATGTGGTGATCCGAAGTTGGCGTTGTCACGGTTACTTTGGTTCCTTGACGTCACTATCCTGAAGAAGCCTGCGATATGACACGTGAAACGTCAGCGTCTCAGCCAACGACGCGGCGACACCCGGACAGCGTAGTACTGAACTCGAGCTGCGGAATCCTGCGTGTACACATCGTCTTTTTGTTCAAATATAGGCGTGTATCTAAAACACTAAACCGTTATAAAATATGATTTAATTTATTAGAATGTTGATATATTACAAATTCTATGAAATAGTACACAAAAATGCTTGTATTATGATTTTGAACAAATATACTCAAATACATGCGAGTAAAGTTTTGTTTGTGAAAAATGTTTTATGCATTTTATATACTTTGCGTAATGATTATTAAATAGAGCGGTTTTATAAAATTGTCTCTGGAGTCTCTATTTTGAATGTTTTTCAATATCAACTTCAGATGAACTTCCCATACAGATTTAGTATGTTCTGGGCGCACCCACTGGACACAATTTACGCAATACTGTCGAGTGCTCTTCTTTCGTTGACGTCCGTAGAAATAACAACGAACCGCTTTGCCATTCGGTGACTCCGCTGAACGATGCTACTCGATGCTACGCGGATTCCCTGAAGAAATCTTCCGCTTGTTATTGCTGACGGCACAGATTTTCTCGGATATTCCTTTTCATTTATGTCTTCATGAAGGAATAAGCGAGATACTTTATAAATCGCCTTCTAGTCAAAATTTCTCCACTGTTGTTCTTTGTATAAACATTCACAGCATTGATTGCAGCAATATTTGTGATGTCATCTTAGGTCAAAAACTGAACCGTGGAGTACTTTTGTGATCCGAGCTGTTTCCGGCGCTTATCGCATATTTGTGTCATATTTCGGTATAATTCAATAGCTGGGGCCTTCTGCGAAAGGTACTGAAAATCCATGTCAAACGTTTGTCAACAAACTGCCAAACAACCGAAGGGTTGAATACTACGACTTTTTTCGACGAACAGAGTAGCCGCGATCATTAAGGCAGGTGGGCCTTGACAATCTCGCTTTGAAAGGTCGTGTGTTCTAGTCGCCTCGCGCTGCACTCGTGTGCTTAAGATACCACTATTATGCCGACCCGAGTCGCTGTCCTGGGTTCCAGTCATCTGAAGTGCCAAGACGACTCGCGCTGCACCCGCTACCACCACCATTTCACCGTCCTGGGTACAGATTTTCTCGGATATTCCTTTACATTTATGTCTTCTGAAGGACGAAGCGAGATACTTTAGAAATCGCCTTCTAGTCAAAATGTCTCCACTGCTGTTCTTTGCATAAACATTCACAGCATTGATTGCAGCGATATTTGTGATGTCAGCTTAGATCGTGAAGGTGGATACGCCTCGACGGTCTCGAAGGGTCATGGGTTCACGTCGCCTCGCACGTCAAGACGTCACGTGCTGCTCCCATATACTTAAATTCTACATATGTTTCGCCGACGTGGATACCGGTGACAGGCGGTTGCGACAGCCCCGCAGGGTTGTGGGTGCTAGTCGCCTCGCGTGTAAAGACGCCTCGCGCTCCACTCGTGTGCTTAAAATACTACCACTATTTCACGTGGGTAGCAGTGATTGTTAGGGCGGGTGTCTTGACAGGCTCAGCTTGAAGGGTCGTTGGTTCCTTTCATCTCGCGTTGCACCCTTGTGCTTAGATACCACTATTTCACTGACCTCGAAATCGCGAACATTAAGACTGGTGCGCTTCGAGCGTCTCAGACGGTCGTGGGTTCCTGCCGCCTCGCGTGTCAAGACGTCTCGCGCTGCACTCGTGTGCATACAAATACCACTATTTCGACGACCTGGATAGCCACAATAGTTAAAGTGGGTGAACCTTGGCAGTCGCGGCTGTAGTACTTATTCTGAGAGACTAAAGTCAGGAAGTCCAGTCTAGAAATTCTGAAACAATACGATCATATTTACTGTCAACAGAGAGTTAAAGATGTCTCTGAAAATGTATTAGAAATGTTTTCTATTTACTAAGATCTAGACATGTAAGTCGTAATGGACTACAAATGGAAATCCTGCTATGCGCTGTGATTTAAAAATGTAATTATTCACTTTAATAATCTTGCTCGCTGTAAACGACGAAACATCGAATGCTTTCAATAGACCTACACTAACACTGACAACTAAGCAACGTCATTAATAATATGAACAAATGGCATTAGGTAAGCGTTCATTTTATTAATTTTAAAATATTATTAAACTTTAGTATTTATACTGTATAAAAACAGTTAATAATAGTTAGTGATAAGATTTCTGGTGTCTCTACTTTTCATTTACAGCAAAAATCACGAAATTTTATCGAGTAGGACGCTCAAACGTGGTTCTAAATGAAAACTTTTTTTAATATCAAGATGTTCACAGTTTTCTAAATTTCAGAGGTTGTAATGAAAATCGGAACTATATTGTACCCATAAATGCACTTCGTTCTATTGGGTTGAAAAAAAAACGAAGAAAAAAAGGTTGGACCATTTTTCAGGAATTTAAAAAAAATGACAAGGGCGTCATGTAAAATATACCCATTGAAAATACCTTAATTATCTTCGGGGAGGCACTACTAGATATGAATCCTGAGGTATTTATCTAATAATAGCTTAAAAGCTTTTGATTAAATAGTTTGATGTGGCACATCCATCTAGATATCCTGACTTTTGGGTACAAAATTGCTTATATCTCTTCGCCATATGTACCAATCGTAATCATCTTTAAAACAGCATTAATATACTTAATTCTGACGTATGTGCAAAGTTACAGCTCAAATGAGCCTCAACGACGGAACTTACAACGAAAATTTCGAGATCGTATTGTCGACGGGGTTCCCATACTTTCCCTACCTTAGTGTGGTAACGAAAAGAAATCGTCTTTTAACTGGTGAAGATCAGCCTTCGAGCGACCTCTGTCAACCGAAGAGGGACAGAGGTCTGGGTCACCCCCTCGTGGTCGTAAAGAGGAAATTTGGGAAGGTTTTACTTCCCGGCGAATGCCGAAGCAGGTGCTTATTCAATGGGCCACGGACCGCACGCGATCTCCGCTTCCCATCATTCCCTTCAATCTCTTTTGCGACGCCGACGTAGGGCGTTACATCCTCAACCTTTCCCCTCATAACCGGCATTCGCCGGAAGAAGTGAAGAAAACGAACCTACGAATTTCTATATTCTTATATTGCAATTGTTGCGAGTGAATGACTATGTCTTTTGAAAGGCCGCGGTACTGAGAGGTCGGAGTGCGGTCGTTGCAATCAGAGACCTTACGAGATGACCGATACTCCTATTTAAACATGGTGGCGCCTCGAGGACAAGAGCTGGACGAGGGTGGTACTGTCATCCAATCGGGAGCTTCGTTGGGATTTAAATTTCTGATATTGAAGCTACCGATTGGATTATAATGTCCCCCACTCGTTCCAGCTCGTGACCTTGAGGCGCCACTATAAATTAATCAAAGTATAGGGAGGAAGACAGAGACGTCGTCGTACGCAGTCGATCACCGGACTCCTGTAGATTCACATCGTAATGCATTATGCTTGTCTGCCTAGAAGAAACTTATCGCGTGTGGTCACAGCGAGCACTGCGGGAAGAGAATGCTGGAGCCTCGGAGGACCCAACGAATGTCTGGTATAGAAAATGAGACGCATCGAAAGGAATTTCTTGGCGTATATATCATAATCCTTTTAGTACTCCTTACACGTGTCCGTCGTTCATCGTCTCATCCGATATATCTTTAAAATTATTTATGGATATGAAATGTTTGCGATAAAAAGCGATAGAAGTCCTAAAGAAGTACTAATGTAGTCCAAATTTGTACCATCAATAATATTAATCGCCAATCACCATGAAAATTGTTTGCATCGAAACAGCTACTTGTAAGTCGGTGTTAGTCTATTTTCACGCATCTGAGGTTCCGGAATCAACTGTGCGCATGCGCGCGTTTGCTAAAACTTCGGAATCCTTCATCGAAAGGAAGTGCGTAAATCTGGTGTAAGGGAAAACATCGAGGCTGGTGTCGACGGGCTTTCGATTCAGTTGAGACCGGCTTAGGGGGCTCAGCACATCAATGTCACTGAAATGCCTGACCGGGAGTTCTCACGATTCGAGTCCTAATGGTGGCACGATTTCCGACAGAAAGCTAGATAGATAGGTGAAATGATAGATAGCTAGCTGCCCGGAGGAGAATTCTAGCGGCCGGGTGCTCTGATCGGTAGTTTTTCGTGGTTTCTTTGATCTACACCAGACGAATGCCAGAACAAACGGGATACGGCTTTCCTCATCCTTGTTCTATTCTCCCAGTGTATCACACACAAGCTACAACTGTACTACAACACACGTCGAGTGACCAGTCGGAAGCTTAGTGCTTGTCCTGGCTGGGGCGCTGCCACGTTGTTGGATGATACCTAGATAGGGAAAAAAATCCCACAAGCCGGTGTGTAGGTCGGCACTGGATCTCGCCATCCATCGGGGAAGTCACACCGCCATCTTCCGCGATAAACGCTGCGTCACACTCCGGAGACCAATGACCTTTGCCATTGTCGCGCCCGGCAGCGCCAAGGAATCAGCGAATGTCGCACTGGAGTTGACGGAGTGCGTCTGTCTGTTCGCAGCCTGCAGGAGCTGCGCGTGGAGCGCAACCAGCTGCGCGAGCTGCCCGCTGCGCTGAGCCGCCTGGGACGCCTGCGCGCGCTGCTGGCTGCGCACAACCGCCTGTCTGCGCTGCCGCCCGCGCTGCTCACCATGCGCGCCCTCGCGCTGCTCGTGAGTGTCCTCTGCTCTCCTCATCCTCTTCTTATTTCTGCAGGGATCAACGTTACCAGCTCACTTTTGTTGGTTCAAACAAAATAATTAATAGTCCAAGAATGGTGGGGTTTAAAATCAACATTCAAAGAGTGTTTAAAGTATTGCGTA